TTCCAATTCCGCAGCCTTTTTTGTCGTTACTTGCTATACATTACCACGAAACAGAGCTTGTAAACTGCATGCCTTGAGTACAGTGAGCGTGATGATTTGTGAACAAGCTACGAGTACCAGGGCTTAAGATGATTTATTTAACGTGTACACCATTTGGTGGTGTGATAGTCTTGTCGAATCACCACCCACTCCCTCCGGCAGCAGGGGCCTTGAGAAACCTCTTTCTACCACTATATTTGAATTTGAAAGTATTCACCAGATATTGCGCCACCCTAACCGAGTTGAAACGAGTACTTGTGCAAAGACCACACAAACATGTCTGAACTGAGAAGACTTGGAAGAGGCCGTGAACAGCTAAACTCGTCATCGCTAACTATAATCTGCTTGCAACAGGGGACGTCTCGTAGTAAGTCAAGGAGTACGGAGTACCCCGGAAGAATCGTCTTCCAATCCCACTGCCCCAGTATCCCATCCAAATACCATTTGGGAGGCCCCTCTACCTGCAGTACCTCCCTGATTCGCTGCCAAACATCGGCCGGCAGTTCGCCCTGGATGTCGTAGTTGTGTGCGACCTCAACAAATGTCGCGTCTTTGGCGTCCGAGTCATCGGGAAGCCCAAATACGGAACGACAGGTAATGCGCCACTCAACACGAGTTTGTATCTCGCTCTGCATATGCATCCTGGCCCCCAGAAACGAGGGATCAGTTTCATCGTCATTCCGAGGTACTCGATCATATCCCCTGTCAAAGAGTAGTCGTTCGAAGACGGCTCGTGTGATTGGGTAGCCAGCGAAGAACTGGGGGTACGGGGATGGCATTAGGAATGAGAACTTCGGTGAGTTCGTCGAAGGGCTACATCTTCAACAGGTCGTCTCTAGTCCGTTAGAGAGAGAGAAATATCAACACAACGTGGCATACTGGTATGTATGACTCGGAGGATATTTATGTTTCTACCTTGCACTGGTAACGCCTGCGAAACGACATCAAGGAATGGTTCAATGCAAGCTTAAAAGTTGACTCTTGGCCAAGAACTAGGTGGTTCATTCGTTGCGGACATGTGTAGAAGTCATGCACTGTGTAGAAGTTGCAGTCAAGTGAGGTCTTACTTTCTTTGTACATCAGCATCGCCATTTGGCAATTCATTTGATCTCCGAAATAGTCAATTAGGCGGCCATTTGTTCAGCAGCCTTGTGAAATATTCACTATGCCCCTCATGCACGGCTTTGAGCAGCAGGGCGCCGGTGGATATTACTTTCTACCACTGTGTGTTGAATTCAAAGAGAAGCCCCAATGGCAAGAAAATTGCGCCACCTTCACCGGCGAATCGAATTCAAATGATTGAGTGTACGAAGGTGGATCACACAAACGGAAAAGATGAAAAGCACATAGGCAGCAATACTTGTCGCCGATAGGCGTAATTTAGCTGCTACAGTGAACGGTCACCAGTCTAATCAGTAATGGGCCACCCTGGAAGTATTGTCTTCCAATCCCTCTGTCCCAAAATACCGTTCAAATACCACTTCGGAGGTCCCTCCACCTGTAGCACCTCCATGAGTCGCTCCTGAACATTGGGTGGCAGTTCACTCTGGGCGTCGTAGTTATGTGCCACCTCGACAATCATCATATCTGCTCCGTCATCGACAAGCCCAAGCACGGAACGACAGCGGATACGCCACCCAATATGACATGATATCTCTCTCTGCACATGCATCCTGGCCCCCAGAAATGGGGGATCGGTAGGCTGGGGTACAGATCATACATGCCCTGGAGTCATCGTTCCAAGGCGGCTCTCGCTTGGGTATCTGCGGCGAAGAACTGGGGGATCGCGAATGACACTGGGAATGGCATTAGGGATGAGGACGTCAGGGAGCTCGTTGAGAGGTTCCATCTTCAACAGGTCGTCTCTCGTCTGTTGGAGAGGCAGGTCAACATAACGTGGCATACGAGGATTTATGCCCTACCTTGCACTGGTAACGCCTGCAGAACGGCATCAAGGCATGGTTCAATTTGACCTTGATTCTCGGATCTAGTTCTCGAGAAACAGGAGGTTCGTCCATCGCAGGAGGTGATATGAATACAACAGAAAGAAGTTGCAGCTCTGACCGTCAAAAAAATCCGACTTGCCCGGATCGAACGGGCGACATCGAGATCACGTGATAGCCATTACAGTCTCGCGCTCTCCCAACTGAGCTAAAGTCGGATGAAGGAGCGGAATTGATGCTACACTCGCGTCGGATGCAATGGGCCAAGCAACATGACGACACTGACAAGTTTACTGCACAGGCTTCCAATTCATTTGAGAGTGATTCTGAGTGACTCGACTGCTGTCTTCAGCATGGCACAGCTGCACTGAGGAGGACACAAAGTTATGGGCACTTGAAGGCACAGCATGCACATCAATATCATTCTTATGCCAAACATTCTAGCTATGTCCTAGTGGTGCACCACGCTGAGGAGGACACAAAGTTATAGGCACTTGAAGGCACAGCACACACATCAATATTGTTCTTATGCCAAACATTCTAGCTATGTCCTAGTGGTGCACCACGCTGAGGAGGACACAAAGTTATGGGCACTTGAAGGCACAGCATGCACATCAATATCATTCTTATGCCATAAATTCTAGCTATGTCCTAGTGGTGCACCACGCTGAGGAGGACACAAAGTTATGGGCACTTGAAGGCACAGCGTGCACATCAATATTGTTCTTTTGCCAAACATTCTAGCTATGTCCTAGTGCTGTGTGTAAATCAATGTCCAGTACTTGGGTTACAACTAGGAGTGCCATGGCATCAGGTGCCTTTCGGGCCTTTGGTCAAAACA